TGTAGAGTGATACGGAGGCTTTTCGCGCCTTCGGAGCGTCGGCAATCATTAATAACGTCGTCTACGGTCGATGAATTTCGAAATACGAGGAGATTGAAGGCGTCATCGGCGATTCCTTTGAGGATGTGCGCGACCTTTTCAGATTCCGGCATCTTGTCATCAACTTTCTGGCAGAGGGCGAGCACATGTTGCATGTATGTGACGTACGACTCGGTGCCAGACTGGAGTCGGCACGTTAGTTTTTTCTGCGCAGAACGACGATGCCCGATGGGCTTGCCGAAAAGATCGATGAGTTTCTGCTTACAGATGTCCCAACTCGTGATATCTTCCTCGTGGTTCGAAAAGCAAACTTTAGCTGTACCATCAAGGTAGAAAATAATATTGGCCAACATGAGCGTCGGATCCCAGTTGCAAAGAGCGCTCACCCTTTCGTACAGCTGAAGCCATTCCTCCACGTCAGTACTGTCACTGCCCGAAAATGTGCCTGGGTCACGCGGTTGAGTCAGGATGACTGTGCAGTTAGTAGCAGCTGGATGCGGTGCTGTTGGTTGCTGCGTAGTTGGACGAAGCACGGTTGGGGTAGTATCCAAAGAATCCTCGTGCTCGTCTTGATCAGGCATCGCACAGGCAGCCAAGGAACATCCGCTGCGTATAATCGTCGTGGTGTTGACTGTGGGAAGACCCGCACTCTCTGCCAAAATGTTACGGGGAGAAGGTGTCTGAAAAGTACCTTTACTTTTGGTAAACAGGCAGGCATACAATATGGAGCCCGGTCTGCACGAGCTCGCCCTAAACATCGTCCACTTTTCTACAATGTTCATTTGTGGCACCCCGTAGCAATATTTTCTGCGTAAGTATAGATCAGTGAATGAGATGTTTAGTCTGGGATCCTATTAATGAGGGCCGCTGTCCTAGCACCTTTCACGAGGACCTCATTGGTCTTCGGATCTGAGCTAGCTTCCTGGGTTGCAAAGGTTGATGGTTTGGACAGTCCCATATCATTTCGTACAGGGTAGCTGTTTTATTGGCGCAGAACCTGCACTGTGGTGTGTGTTCGGATTTCTGTTTGACAGTTTGTATGGATTGGTGTAGGACAGGGTCTGCATGCCACGCCACGCTGATTCTTTACTGAGGCTTGGGCCTGGAGGTGAAAGTTTTTGACGTTCGAGTCTTTGATGTTGCAGAATTTCTGTATTCGTGAGAAGCGGGCCCATTCGCAGAGCTGAGAGTGGATGCGATAAGCTGGGATTGGAGGTCCGGAAGAGTAGTTCTCGGGCCAAGGCACGGGTGAGCTCATTGCCTTTAACTCCACAGTGGTCGGGTATCCACGTCCACTGTTTCCTGTCTCCCTCTGTACGTGGGGTCGATAGCTGTGTAAAGATTGGATGCGCAATGGGGCTAATGTAGTCTTTACAGGCATTTTGGTAGGCAGCTTCTAAATCTGTGAGAATGAAGGTGGACTCGGGGATTCGTAGGACGAGGCCGATTCGTACTTCCTCCACGCTAGTTGTGACTGTGTTTTGTGTTGACATACAGTCGATCTGTTTTCCTTGATGAATTACGATTGCCGCGTATTTGCCATTCACTGTTCTAGCTGCATCGTCAAAGAGTGAGGTCTCAGTGCCTCAGTACTTGTGTAATTTGGCCCGTGTGCGACGTCAATCTTCGTCAAAATGTGGATGCATATTGCGTGGTTTTATGTTGACATATTGAACAATTCGAGTGATGCGAGCGCCATCTAGTGAACATTTGGCGCACTAGGGGTGGCTAGGACCGACAAGTACAGCATGTATCAGCCGGGGCACGTTCAATGACACCAACACGCATACCAGGACAGTAGTGAACGCCCGTGTTTATTGCCGTCAGTTTTTTTACAGCGAAACGAGGAGAAGGGTTAGGGGTTTAGTAGATAGTAAAGAAATGCACATGTAATGCAACCAAGGCTTGCGCTCTTGGGCCTGATACGATACATCTTCCCATTCAGCGTTGTTGACTTAACTGCTGAAAGCTTTGATCGCATCCCAGACGTTCCGGACGACGTGTTTGACGCTGCGACATTCACTGTGGTATAACTGGCTGCAAAGGTTGTTGCGGACAACTTGGAACTTTCGTGGCCGAGCCAGACGGAGATTCTACAGAGGCAGGTGCCTGCCCTTCGTTGTTATTTTCGTTTCTCTGCCTGGTTCGAAAATTGCTAGACGTGGCGACTCACTAATCTTTCGGCATATAGCCTGCCATTCGCTCTCATGAGTTGCTGTCCAGTCAAAAACAACATCATGCTTCAACAGCGAACGCAAAGTAGTAGTGCACTGGAATAGTGAGGGCACATATTTGCAAAAGTAGTTGACGACGCCCAAGAGCCTCTGTAACGCATGTTTGTCTCGTGGTGCCAGCATTTTCAACAGAGCTTCGACCAAAGCAGGTCAACTCCGAACAAGCACTTTGACGCGTTGAAAGTCATTTCTGCTTTTTCTGCCGCTAGTAGCGCGCTTTTGAGCTTCTCATTGTGTTCTTTCTGGCTAGCACCCCAAATGAGCTCATCGTAAACATATACACGCACGCCAGGCAAACCATTAAATATCTCGTTGAGCGCTTTTTGAAAAACTTCGCTTGCCGATGAAATGCCAAAAGGCAGTCGAAGAAACCGATAACAGCCAAAGGGAGTTTCGAAGGTGCACATTTTGGAAGACTGCTAATCCAGTGGTATTTGATGGAACCCAGCGTTAACGTCAAGTCAAGACAACACCTTCGCTCCTGCCAGCTCTGCTTCTATGTCTTCTCGGCACGGCATCTGATAATGTTCTCTCCTAAGGCATTCATTATTTTTTCTTGGGTCCATGCATACCAGCAACCTGTTGCCCTTTTTAAGCACAATAACCAGCGGGCTTCCCAATCTGTCGGGCTGCTGACTTTTCGTATTATGCCTTCCACTTCCATTCACTGTAGTTCAGCGCGCAGAGGTTCTCGCAGCGCCAAAGGCATTCATCTGGCTGGCTCAATGACGGGCACGGCACCCTCGCGAAAGGTGATCATGTACTCGCGCTGTACACGGCTTGTTCTTTGAAAAAGCTGGGGAAATTCATCGATGATCGTGGAAGGATCGCTACGGCATCAACGTTCCGTTTGATCTGCCCCAGGTCATCCGCAGCTTTCAGACCCATGAGGGCACCATGGTATTTCTTAATCACGAAGAGGTCTGTGTAGACGCTCTGGTCCCCGATGGTCACGTGCGACGAAAATGTGTCAAGTTGTTTGATGACGCCGCCGTTATAGGATTGTAGAACCGCGTTGCTTGCTTTCAGTGGACAGGCCAGAATTTTTCGGAAAAGCACAGCAGTATCAAGTTTTCTTGGGACCCTGTGTTGATTTTGAGGTTGATGTCCTTGCCTGCAATATTCGCTTTCATGATCCAGTCCCGGTCACTGTTGTTGTTTCCGATGGGGACGTCCAAAACATCGAAGCCGTCGTTTTGGTATGGCGTCTTCCTCTCGTCCTTTATCTCGAAGATGGCTCCGTTTGACTGGAAGCATGACAAAAAATAGTTACGCCCCTAGCACAAGTAGCAAGTTTTCCCGTAGGCTGGACAGCGCCATGCATGAGATCGGCTGCAGCGGGAACATTCGAAGTTTCAGCTTGACGATGCTGCAAGGACGTGAAGGTCTCCGTCAGTCTTCCACCACAGCGAGTTTTCAGGTGCTGGTGTTTCTGCCACCTTGCATAAAGCCTTTGTCCAATGTAAGGCCATTGCCCCTGAGCAGCTTCTCCCGAAACTTCGGTGAGTTTGTACCGAACACAATTTGGTCATGCACCATCTCGTTCATCATCGTCCTATACTTGCCAAACTGCACCTGCTTCTTCAGCACGTGGAAGAACTGTTCGAAGGGTTCAGCTTCGCTCTGTAGTCGAGAGCGGAAGACGCAGCGCTCGTGAATTGTGTTCTCTTGCTCGACGTAGTATTTCTCGAGCTTGGCCACTACCCTGCCATAGTCCTGCTTGTCTTCGCCTTCATCGAACGTAAGGTTGTTGTACACTTCAAGTGCCTCTTCACCAGCCATGCTAAAGAAAAGAGCCGTTTTTGCTGCCTCTGACCTTGGTTTTTCAGTGCATTCCGTGGCTGCCAAAAAGAAATCAAATTTCTGCCGGAAGAGCATCCACGTTTTTCCCCCGTTGGTCGAGAGACCCAGAGGCTCTGATGGTTTGATGTACTCCATGCTTGCGGTGGTTTTAAAAGCTGTGGTGTAGGTACCTACTTGTTATGGTGCTTCTTTCATCGTCGAGCACGCAAGGCTCCAGTTCCGCACTTCTAACGCCATGTATCAGCTGGGCCACGTTCAATGACACCAACACGCATTTTAGGACAGTAGTGAACGGCTGTGTTTATTGCCGTCAGTCTTTTAAAGCGAAATGAGAGGAAGGGGTAGGGGTTTAGTAGATTGTAAGGAAAAGCACGTGAGTGCAACCAAGATAGCTGGCTTGCGTTCTTGGGCCGGATACGATACACGGCATACAAGATTAAGGAGCTTCATCACGAAAAACTTTTCACGATGCAGCAATATTCGAACTCCCGCCCCCATCATACCCAGGGGAGTGTCTTAACCAGCCGTCTATCCATGCACGCTAACAGCTCACCCTTGTATAGTATGGTATATATAGCTAGGGTTTGGGCAAGGGACGGGAATACAGCGAGCACAGAAAGAAATTCAGTCAGAGAAAATCAAAGAAAAAACAGTAGAAAGCGAAAGAAGAAAAAGAGAGAGAAACAAATAAATGAAAAACATAACAACAAAATGAAACAAAAAGTTAGAAGAGAGGAAAAATTAAAAAAAATCGAATTTAGACAACAAAGGCTCCCCACTTCGTCGACGCAGCAGCGGTGCGAAGCTGCTACGCTGTCTCGTTAGCATTGCAACTCCTTCGCAATCCAACTTTTTTTTTCCTTTTTTCAATTAGCGCGCCTCCTGTGACACGGGAGGACGTTCGTGACGCCGCGCCGCGGTGGAAGAGCGTCGGCGTGCCGCGTCTTCCTGGGCATTATTATCGGGCATGAGTTCCAGCCAGGCAGATAGTCGGCGCAGCGGCCGTAAGCGGCGTAAGACTGGGCCGGACTCACGCTACAGTTGGGTGGTTGCTCTGGCGTGTGGCGGTGTGAATGTCTTCATGCATGCCTCCAGCAAAGTGGTGGGCCTGCTTTTCTTCGGCATGCTCGACCAGTTCACCGAAAGTAGAGAGACGGCTGCGTGGCCACTTGTCCTCAACAACACGCTGCTCAACGTTGCAGGTGAGTGAATTGTCCATGAATTTTGTCACGCATCGTGCTATCGCCACATGCCCAAAGGAGTTACGTGGTGAAAAGTCGCTTTTATTAGGTCAGGAACGCATAGGTTCACGTTTCGTAGAGGGTGTCCTTCACGCCAACTTGAAGATGATGTGTACAGAAACACAGGGCCATTTGAAAGGAACACATAGCACTTACGCTAACAATCGCTGCAGTGTTCTGTCATGGACCTTCAATGCGGGCATCTTGTCCGACTTAAGAACCACAGCGCACAACACGGACGAACAATGACACATGTAGGCTGCGTTATGTGTGTCACTATTTGTACACATTGCACCTCAACATCATCTACAATCAAGAAGCTCTCCAGCACCACCTTGTCGAAGTCAACATCACATGGCTGCAGAGGTCACCGAGCATATGAGCAGTGCTCGGTGCACTTAGTTTACTGCCTGCGAACAACAACAGTGTGATCAAAAGCAAAAGAGGAAGTTACTCAACTGAAAGTCAAGATTCAGTGGCTGCTTCCATTTTTTCACTGTGTTAGGATACTTGCTTGGTCCGGCCCGATTTTCGCGATACGTTGCAATGTGATATGTGATATGATTACGCACGATTGAATATATATATATATATATATATATATATATATATATATATATATATATATATATATATATATATATATATATGCGTGTGTGTGTGTGTCTGTGTGTGCGTGTGTGCCGGCACTGACCTGAGGTCTCAATAATAGGTTTTAATGTCACTTATCACAAGCATAGGTTGCTCAAATAGGCGTATTAATCATATCTGGTGCGTTCGTCCCAAAAGCACAATATGGCTATCAGTGACGCCGTAGTATAAGGCTCCGTAAATTTCGACCATGTGGTACTCTTGAAAGTGCACTAACGCCGCACAATGCCACCATTTCTCCTCCATAGACCGTGATCCAACCCGCCCCCTTCGGGTCCGAGCACCGTATACTGCGGCGGAGTGATGACCAACTTGACCCACAAGAGGCAGTGACATCACGGGGGAAGCACAAAATCTTGCGAGATGGTGCAAGTCAGCTTAGCAAGCGAAATTAGCATCTTCACACTATCGCAGTTGCCAGATTTCTCTATCCTGTGCAAAAGTGACTACGTTTAAGGAAAGAAGATAAACTTATTAGCTACATTTTATTTTCTCCATTTGAATCAATTCGTTGACTCGTGATGTAGCAGCCACCGTCGTTCCAGTGTCAAAACGTGGTCACCAAAGCGTGTTTCTATCTTCGCAAATATAATTTGCCGCTCAACAAAACAAAATACTGTTGGCCGAGAATCGGAGCCTTGCACACAATGTCCAACGTGAATGTAAATTCTGAATGAAAAGCGTAAGCTCAATGTGCTTCAATCCCAGCAACTATGATTTAGCGCACACTCATGTAGTATTACTTTTTTTTTATCGTAGCTGGTAGTTCCACTCATTTCAAGAGAAGTCACGCAATACAGGTTTCTGCAACAGTGCGACACACTTCGTCATCTTGTATGACATGGTTCCCAGAGTCAACAGTTTATGCTTTATGAATGAGCAATGTTTTATACCCAAAACTGATTAAACTCAACCGAGTTGTTCCGTTCTTCATAGCAATTTGAAACAAGCAACCATTTTTGTTTTTACTGGTTCAACTCGTTTACGCGTACACAATGTTTCCTCTTGCTAGTTCTTGGAGACAGTAAAAAAAAATCAGATCAGCACAAAAGGAATAATATTTACTTGCTACATACACTAATGAACAATTGGTTGAACGTGTGAAAACGTTTTTGAATAAAATATAAGTGGTCGTTTTAGAATTGCTATATATTAAGTGTATCATGACTATCATCAATAAAAACTATATCAAAGTTCCGAAACGTATGAGCAAGAAAAAGCAACATTATGCTCTTAACGAATAGTCACACAAAGAAGTGACAAATAAATAATTACAGATATAGCTGTTGTACATCATGAAAAATCACTCAAGCAAGCTAAACAGTGATCCCCAAAACATGCCCTACTACTCGTTCCACCGATCAAAAGTACGGGTGAAGTATTGATATTTTAAGACTTCAGTTGAGGTTTACATGTGAAAGAATAGCTCAAGAACACAATATTGTAATAAAAAATCAATAATAGGCTTGACATTCTTTTTGTCGCGACAAGCAATGTCTCCTCTTAATTGATTTCAGCAATTACGATTTCTGCTGTTGTGATCGTGTACATTTCTGTCAGAAAGCGCAAGCATTTAGTCGTTGATTAAAAAATGTCGCAGTTGTTTTCGCCCATGCGTGGGTACACATTTGTCTACTTTCACGCCTCGTGGCTGAAGTTGGCTACTTTTCCCCAGTTGGATAGCATGACTATCCTTTCAACCTGGCAACACAGCGGCCATTCATGCAGTCATCTTCTCCAACGTCATACTTCCTGTGCGTTCGGTGCTGATTGGTCTCTAGTAGGGCCCGGAAGGTGAATGTCCTATTAGATTAAAATACAACTAAATTAATCAGTGGTAATTTTCCTAGCAGGTAGACGGTAGGAAGCCGAGAAAATTAAGCAGCAAAGTGGTTCTGTAACGTAAGCGAAAACTTCTTGGTTCTGTTGAAATTATCTCTTCACTTTACTGTTGCAACGTATAGGACAAATATGTGCAAAGTGTTCGTATATATGCATTGGTTACGACTTTGGTCCCATCTTTTCTAATATGTTTTCCTTAGGTATTGATCAGAACATTCTGACTAATCTTGGTAATTAGAGTCTAACCAAAGACATCAGACACAATGATGATTTTCACTTGTGCTGAAGGATGTTCCTAATTTTGACCTTGACAGTTGCATTGAGCGCGTAATCTGTTATACTAAGTTGTACAGCCACACATTGTTTTACTTTTGATAAAATAAAATCAGCGTGATTCAATTTTTAGTCTCATTCGCCTTCATTTTCATGAAGCTACAGAGTCTGCTTGGTGTGGACTGCGAGCTCCGTAATACGGTTACATATTTGTGACAGTTCGCAGCCAAGAATGATCACCAAGATTTATCTCGGCGCATATCTTAAACGAAGTCTTTGTCGTTTTTCGCCTTTTCCCTCCCAATTGGTGCGCTTATCAGGTGCGGGGTACTTGGCCTTCGGTGCGCGGGCAGTCGCAGCTGACGATAAAGCATCCGTAGCCACACGAAAGAAACTAGTCGAGCTAATGTTTTACTTGCATGAAACATTAATCAACATAAAAGTCCTTCACCATGGAGCTCTTTCATATCAAGCGCCTAGGATATGTAAGCTCAAACCTTACTTCCCCAGCCACCCGCGTCAGCGAAACCTTCAGGACCCGAATAATGTTTCCCATAAACTTTTATTTGTTAATCTTACTTGTCCACCCATCACCTGTTGGGCAAGGTGCCTAAGTTTAGCACAGTGGAAGCACACTAACATGCCAAATATTTTTTCACGTTGTTTATCCAGTATCTCTCAGGTTCGAATCAAAATGCATTGCTGAAACGGCCGTTGAAAAATAGATTAAATGCGATTGGGTGCGATCAGAAGGGCACCGTGGGAGATCGCAAACGTTTGCAAGAAGCATACTTCTTAGAAGAAGAAACAAAAAAAATATCGAGCAGTTTTACATACCCAAAGCCATGGTGGCAGCAGCATTAGCGAACCATCTCTCAGAAAATAAGCATGCAGGGTGACGTAGGAGCCGCCTTTCAAGGTTTTATTTTCAACTATACGGCGTTAGATGTCGGCCTGACAGCTTTCAAGCCTGTGTAAGAAAGTACGTTCTTACACTTCTTGGTTTTATTATTTTCATTGCTTCTCTCTTAAATAAATTCAGCAGATCCCACGTACCTGGGAATGAACGTTATGCGAAACACGCGGAGAGAACGAGACCGTGTTGCAATTTTTTTATTGAGCAACACGTCATGAAGTGACGCTAAATATATGTACAAATGCTGCACGCACAGACACATGTTGAAGAGCTGCAGATGCTTATATAACCAGTTGTTTGCACTTGCGCAACGATGTCAACTGAAACATGCCTAATAGCAACACCAGAAGCTTATATTAGCAGCAATGACAATCAAGTTTAAGTTGTCGCATATGACTACATCTACGGCATCAGAGCTTGCTGCTATAAGGGCTGCTTTACAATATCTCGTTCAAGAACGTCCAGGAAAATGGGTCATATTCTGTGATTCAAAGGCAGCGCCTAAGAGTTTGCAGTCTGCCATGCGTAGGAGGAGTCATGACCAATTGGTGCAAGAAATAAGACATTGCAATCATGAAGCTCTAGCACGAGGGCATGATATTATAGATCAATGGCTGCCTGGACATATCGGTATTACTGGAAATCAATTACCGATGATTCAGCCCGCTCAGCCCATGAAGGAACCCGTGTAGTCTCGATTCCTCTATCAAGGAATGATGCAGCAAGACAACTTTACCTGCTGGCTCGAGATCTCACACGCACGTTCTAGTCGTCTACCAGCTTCCAAAGGTGTCAGTTTTATGAACTGGATCCTTCGCTCAAGCTAAAGCTACCATCACAACTTTCCCGTTCCGATGCGACACTGTTATGCCGCCTTTGGTTGGGTGTTGCATTTACAAAAGTGTACTCCTTTCGCATTGGTATGGCAGACACTCCTACATGCGACTACTGCGGAGCTGAAGAGACCATCGAACACGCCCTGTGCAGCTGCGCTTCCTACGACACACAGTGATGCCAGCTCCGGATGGTTTTGAATCAACTTGACCCCAGACCATTTTGTGTGCAGAAGATACTAGGACCTTGGGCATCTGCCTCAGTTTCGCAGAAAGCGACTAAAGCACTGCTACTTTACCTAAAGTCAACAAACCTGAGCAACCGCCTGTAGACTGTGTGAGCTCTCCGAGTGTGCTCGTGATTGTGTGTACCTTCTCATCTCTCCGCAACCTCTTTTCTCCCCTTTATCCCTTCCCCAGTGCAGGGTAGCAAACCGGAGGTGCGT